GTTCCATGCAAAACTCTCAAGAACATTCTCTCTAATCTTCAAGAAGTCATTCTTGGTACTAAGCTTACTCTCTTGTTTCTCGCCATCCCTCTCGCCATTCTCGCCAATTCTTACCACTACGGTCGTGTAAGTTCTCTTCTCCATTCATCTTTCTTTCTCTAATTTTATGTATGTTGGTGAAGAAGTTTGGTAGTGTTATAAATTAGGCAATTTTATTAATGACTTCCTTTTAGGATTTAATTTAGTTGAAAGGGATACGAATTTCCCAACCAATATTATGGATTAAAAAAAAAAAATTGAGACAACTTTGATGAGGTTTTTAGATTTTAGTTGCACTATACCTAAAAATAGTAGCAAAGTACAAAATCACTTGTTCTTCTAATTGCGCTAAAGCAAACTTCCTAGATTCATTTATTCAGTTGAATACTTGATCATATCTCTACAAGCATAAATCCCGTGTTTGGTTACTATTTTCTTTGTCAGTACTAAATTAATGAATTGTGTTTTTCGAGACTGGTGCATTTATGCCACGTAATTATCCGTTACCAAATATTCGTCAAAAGAAAGACTAATGTGTAAATATGTGACAGCCGTTGATATTTGGACTGAGCTTGATAGGGCTGACACCTCTAGCTGAGCGAGTTAGCTTTTTGACAGAGTAAGTTATTATCGTCCTACTTATGTTGTAAATATGAGATATTTTCATAGTATATTACTACTATTTATTCTTTTCGACATTTCATTATTTCGTATTCTCCAGGTGTCTTGTCAACATTTTTCACAGATTAGTGTGTTGGTTTAGTATGTTTTAGTTTATTTTATAAGTAATTAACAATTTGTAGTGTTGACTAAATGATCAATTATGAATCAAAATGATTAATTATGATCAACAGTAACCACATGTTTCAAAATAATTTGATAAAAGCTTTATTGTATTAGTATTAGATACGAATCAAAATCATGTTTCAATACTCTCCGACCCCTTATTAAAATAGAACGTGATTGTTGTCCTTTTAACCCTTGCAGGCAACTAGCTTTCTACACTGGTCCAACAGGTAACGTTTTCATACTAAACAAAACTATTTATCATATGATCTCCGAATCAAATCTGTAATCAATTAATAACAGCACCTAACTAATGTTTACTTTGGCAGTGGGAGGTTTGTTGAACGCGACTTGTGGAAACGCAACGGAGCTGATAATCGCGATACTAGCGTTGGCCAATAACAAAGTGGCAGTGGTGAAATACTCTCTATTGGGTTCAATCCTCTCGAACCTTCTCTTGGTTCTTGGCACTTCCCTCTTCTTTGGTGGTATCGCCAATATCCGCCGCGAGCAGCGGTTCGACCGGGTACCTTTACTACACTCCGGTTTTAACTAATTCTTATCGTAATTTGGCATAACCAAACCGGGAGACGTTAACATGGATACAAATTGCATTGGGTACTGAACCAAACCATAGTTATGCTTATCGCTTACATTGCTTATCTCACCTGATTGTTACAGAAACAAGCCGATGTGAACTTCTTCTTGCTGCTTATGGGTCTGTTGTGTCATTTGCTGCCGTTATTGTTAAAATATGCAGCAACCGGTGAAGCATCGACCTCTCTGATTAACAAAATGTCGCTTACTCTGTCGCGTACTAGCAGCATACTTATGCTTATTGCTTACATTGCTTATCTCATCTTCCAGCTCTGGACTCACCGCCAATTTTTTGAGGCACAAGAGGTACCTAAGAGTTACATTATGTTTATTTACTCGACGAATAAATAGTGTAACTATAATCAATTTTATTGGTTTTCAGGATGATGATGATGCATATGATGATGAGGTTACTGTTGAAGAAACTCCAGTGATAGGATTCTGGAGCGGATTTGCTTGGCTCGTTGGGATGACAATCCTCATCGCCTTGCTATCAGAGTATGTTGTGGCCACGATCGAGGTAATAATTATGTCGATATACATTTAAATCCCAAAATGAAAACAAAACTCACAATGTTAATATGGAGGTTTCATCTTGGTCAGGATGCATCGGACTCATGGGGACTATCAGTGAGTTTCATAAGCATCATATTGCTTCCCATTGTTGGGAACGCGGCTGAGCACGCTGGAGCCATCATTTTCGCATTCAAGAACAAGCTCGTGAGTTTCGCTGTTTTTCTTGCTTTACAAGTATTCTTTGTTTTGTGTTTGGTTTTATGTTTAGTGCGCATTTCTTCCAAATGAACCCACCATATTTAGCATTGTGAACAAAATTTATTTGTTGCAAAAACATCTTATACAACAACAACAACATGTAAAACTGCCTGAAATCTCTTTATGTGGAATGGTTATAATTACAGGACATATCTCTAGGGGTTGCGTTGGGCTCTGCAACTCAAATTTCTTTGTTCGTGGTAAGTTTTTCTTCGCCTTTTACATTAAGTTGAAATCTGAAAGATTCTACAAATGTTGCGTGCAATATAAGAAATCTAAGGCAATGTTAATGTGTGTGTTTCCTCAGGTCCCATTGAGTGTTATCGTTGCGTGGATCCTAGGAATAAAAATGGATCTCAACTTCAACATCCTTGAAACTAGCTCTCTAGCTTTGGCCATTATCATCACAGCCTTCACTTTACAGGTAAACGTTTTGCTTTAATCACAAGTTTAATTTGGTTGACCTGACCGGTGACCAGCATATCCCTATAATTAGTCACCATAATTTGTTTTTTGGGCTGGTTAATTAGGATGGAACTTCTCATTACATGAAGGGACTGGTTCTATTGTTGTGCTATGTCATCATCGCGGCCTGTTTCTTCGTCGACCAAATTCCCCAGCGTAAGTAATCGAACAACAATCCCAAGTATATAAATTATCACTGAAAGATGATCAAAATACATAGTGATCCTTGTGTTTCACAGACCAACCAAATGGTATAGACGTGGGACTTCAACCCATGAACAATTTGGGAGAAGTTTATCCAGCTTAAAATGGAGATATGGTTTGAAAAAAGGCATAAATGAGCAAATATGATTTGATTGATTCGTCATCCAAAACAGAGGACTTTGTCAGAGGGATTCCTCAAGCATGAAAATGAGGGAGGGAGCTTGATGAAGACAAGTTCTTAGTGTTTTAAGAAGTGATCACATTAATTGCTGTTTGCTTTCTTTTTCTGTTTGTTGTTGTTGGCATTTTAAGTTATCTTGTATATTATACTTGTTCCCCCTTAACTGATAGTAATATGCAAGTTTTTTGTTTTTTTTTGTTTTGTTTTAATTTACCCTAAGATTATATAGTTTAATAATAATACATGTGGTGGGCTAAAAAGAAAGAAGACATCAATCAGGATTCAAAGAGCAGAGTAACAAAAGAGAAACATAAAAACTTTTCCCAAAGAAATAAAAGCCCATTTAAACCTCATTTTGGAAAAAGCCCATAAACCCCAATGTTAATTAACTATCATGCCAAATTTTCGTTTTTTGTCCAAGCACTTTTATTTGGGGAAAAATGTCATTTAATAGCCGAACTTTCAAATTGTGGCCATTTGCTACACCAACTTCACAAATGGCTAATTTAAACATGATAAAAACGTTGACCTCCGTTTAGCACATGACAAAATCGTTGATCAAGCCAAAACACCACGCCGTTAACAGATCTGCTAACACCCATTAACATCCGTTAACACCTCCGTTAATGCCTCCGTTACTGCGCAAAAACGACGTCGTTCACCGGAGCTAACTAGGAAGCGACAAAAACATGGTCAGAGCCTTGAGTCCGATCCCAAAACGGGTAATGGTCGGAGAGAAAATCGACGGCGGAGCTGAAGAGAGAGCGAGCATGGCTTAGAGAAGGGAAGCCGTTGGATTTGGAGAAATTGCAAGAAACGTAAACAGGGACGAAGAAGAAATCAGCTTCTTCTGGGTCTAACGTACGGACGTCGGAGGAGAGAAGCGTACGGTGGATGGCTACCTCCGCCGCAAAAAGATGAGTAGCGCACCGGTCTGATGCCGTAACCCAATCGTCGTTAAAACTCGCCGGTAAATCGTAAACATATATCTTCATTCCGCTGAATAAACTTTTAATTAAAAGAAGAAAAAAACGATTTTTGAGAAAAATGAGTGATTTGAAACAGAGAAGAAATGTTTGACCAAAAAAAAAAAGAAACAGAGAAGAAATAAAAAATCGATGTTTTTTTTTACCAAAGGAGGTAGTTTTAATGGCGGAAGATTCGATGAGAGCACGAGATGGGAAAGACGACGACGTTTTGTGGTTAGACAAGAGACGTATTGACGACGGTGAGGATTGGTCTTCGACGGAGAAGTAAGATGTGAAGAAATAAAGAGAGAGGAAAAAACAGAGGATCCATGTGTAATAATTTCTGAAGAAGAAGAAGATAAAGATGTTTCTTTTATTTCCTCCTCTGTTGTTGTTGATGTTATTAAGCTGCATTTTCACGACGAGGACATGGAACTCCATCTAAAGCTTCTTCCGTTGGAGGACATGGAACTCCATCTCTGATGACATGGAACACCCAGCTAACTCTGAAGCTTCTTCCGCCGGAGGACATGGAACTCCATCTCCGATGACAACCTCTTCATCTCTATATAATTCGCCTTGCATTGCAGCTTCAACAACAGACCTAATCCTCGATACGATTTCACGATTTCCTAGCTCATAGGAAAAATTTCGATTTTGATAAAATTAGGGATTTGATTTTTCTGATTTGGGGATTTTTTCTGATTTTTTGCGCAGTAACGGAGGCATTAACGGAGGTATTAACGGATGTTTATGGGTGTTAGCGGATCTGTTAACGGCGTGGTGTTTTGGCTTGGTCAACGATTTTGTCATGTGCTAAACAGAGGTCAACGTTTTTATCATGTTTAAATTGGCCATTTGTGAAGTTGGTGTGGCAAATGGCCACAATTTGAAAATTCGGCTATTAAATGACATTTTTCCCCTTTTATTTGAGTGTGAGTTCAAGGGGGTTGTGTACGGACACAAAATGTCAAATCAGGTTTTTGTTCTCTCTGATATATGTTTCTGCAATCTTCAACATTAAGGTTTTTTTTTTTTTACTCATTTCTGTATATTTCCTTTCATCAAAAATCTATCAGACCTCCATGACTGAGCTTCCACGATTCTTTAAGGTTTTCATCCCAGAGACGTCTTCTGAAGCGTTGGTAATAATCTCTCTTTCTTTCTCCTTCTTACAAAACTTTAGTAATTACTGAAGAAGAACCTAGCTGCGAGTGAAAGTGATAAAAAAGATTCTGAATTTTGTTCTTTTGTTTCTCGTTTCTTGCCTTTGATGACATTTCACTTGTTGATTTGTGTTCATCCTTTTTGTGCCCTTGTTCTTTTTTGGTTTCTTAGTGGCAGTGCTGATGATTGTTTTCTTAAATCTATGACTCTCGGTTGTAAATTGGGCTTATAAAGATTTGATTTTTTTCACCTTGTGTAATGTGTCTTTTATGTATTTGTTTAGTGCTTAAAAAGCTCACTCTTTTATCACTGTGTCTTGCTCGTATACTCTGATTGTTCACATTTGTGTTTCAGGCGATTCCATTGTCTTTCACGGAACATCTTGTTGATCCATTGCCAGAGAAAGCGAAGTTCCAAGGCGCCGGAGGAAGATTTTGGACAGTGAGCTTGACAAAACTGTGCGGAGGTTTGCAGTGGACCATGATCTCAAGTCCGGAGAATACTTAACATTTGTCTACGATGGTAATCACACCTTTGAAGTCACTGTTTACGGTTGTTTGGGTAGCAAAGAAACACGAGCTGTAGCACAAATGGTTGAGCTTAGTGATTCTGATAGCGAAGAAGAAGACCAAGAAACTGCAATGGATGTTGATGATGATGGTTTTAGTTCTGGTGAAGAACAGGATACATGAGCTGGTAAAGTATTGACAAAAGACTTTTAGATTCTCTTTTACCTTAATATGGTTCTTATATGTTGTGTTTTTTTTTTGTTCTGTGCAGTTGATTCCAGCCAAAGTGGTGAAAGAACATAAGCTTACGCTTGGTAAACGCCTCTACTACATTGATGAACATGGTTCCTTGAAAGGGAAAAAAGCAAAATATAAAGATGGGAGAACTTGTCGTTACATAGGGTTTGACAAGATTACCAAAAGGAACAGCCTTAAAGCTGGAGATACTATCACATGCAATCTCCTTCATACCCGAAAGCTTGTTCATTCCGTCAGAATCCACATCAATCATAGAGCTCCTTGAGTCTCTCAACATCATCATCACTATCTCCACCATCAATACTGATTTACTATGGCTTTTCTTTGTTCATGAGAATCTTAATTTTCTTTTCAGGTTTTTGTTACCACAATTTTGTTTGATGATAATCATGTGACCATTAAAGTCCAATTTCATCAGTTAATGACTTTTTACCACCACAATATTTACAAGCTTATGAGCAAAAAAAAAAAAAACTCTTCTTCATTTTTGTTGTTGCTAGATTCATCACAAATTCAGCAAAAACTCTTATTCTTCTTTAGCATAATGTTTATTCATATGAGAGCATAAATTAAAATTTGGTTTCTAAGGAAAAGTGTGGGTGGAAGCCCCCTTGGCCTAGGTCTGGGCATTCGGGTACCCGTTCGGGTTCGGTTCTTTTTTTTTTCGGGTATCGGGTCTATTCGGGTAGGGGGTCAAGACCCATTCGGGTATTCTAAAAATTCGGTTCGGGTTCGGTTCGGGTTCGGGTCGGTTCGGGTATTTAATAAAAAAAAAGCAAAATACCCGAAACTAACCAAAAATACCCGAAATATTTTCGGGTTCGGGTCGGGTTCGGGTTTTTAACTCATATATACCCAAATCTAACCGAAATACCCGATTTCTCGAAAATACATTGGTTACTCTTTACCCAAATATAACCAAAATATCTAAAAATACTAAAATTACCCAAAAGAAAACTACATCATTAGTTACTTTTTAACCAAATATATCCAAATGTATCCGAATTACTCAAATACCTAATATATTCGGATTTATGATTGTAATTTTAGGTATTTCGGATATTATAAATATAAATATAACTAATATTTTTAGGTGTATATTTGTATTCGGGTACATTCGGGTACATTCGGGTATTGGATTCGGTTCGGGTTCGGTTCGGGTTTTTTTCGGGTGGGAGGTTAGGACCCATTCGGGTATTTTTAAAAATCGGGTTCGGGTTCGGTTCGTGTATTTTTCGGGTTTTTCGGTTCGGGTATTCGGTTCCGGGTATTTTGCCCAGGCCTACCTTGGCCCATTGGTTGAACAAGGGTTAATTAATGCTTCTACACTCAGAGGTCTGGGGTTCGAGTCCCAGATACTGCGATTTATTAATAAATTTGCAGATTATTGGAGGCAAGTGTGCAGGAGATCTCCAGCGATGTACAATTATAGCTGTTCGCCAGGATTCTACGCAGAGAGTGAAGTATCTATCAAGAGCATAAAGAAAGAGGTGAAGGAGGTGAGTATGAAGAAGAAGGTGAAGAAGGTGTCGTCTGTCGTGGATCTAATAAGGGTCGGAAGGAATTGTCCGTTGTAGAATCGTCTATGTAACAGTTCTCATAATTTACAATAAATAATAAATATAGACGTTAAAATAAAATTAAAAAAAAAAAAAAAAGGAAAAGTGTGGAACCCACCCAGTCTCGAAACTTTTTCCTAATTCTTAAAGTTTTGTTTTTGAAAACAAAGATCTTTGGGTCTTATCTTCTTCTTCCCTCTCTAAAACCATGGAAGAAGACAGAGCGATTCTCACTTTTCACCGTATCCCTTCCCTCAATTCCTCCTTACTAACCTCTTCTCCTGCCAAATCCGGCACCGTTCAGTTTCGCCGCCGTGTCCTGCGAAATTCAGCTCGCGGAGATTTCGGTTTAGGTAGATTCGCGTGCATTTCTCTGGTGGAGAAATGTGGTGAGCAGAGAGAATTCGCTCCGACGACGGCTCAGCTCTTGAACAATCCTCTTGCTATTCTTGCTCTTGTTCCAAAAGATGCCGCTATCTTTGCCGCCGGTGCTATTGCCGGAGCCGCCGCTAAAACTGTTACTGCTCCTCTTGACCGTATCAAGCTTCTTATGCAGGTTTTGGCCCTCCCTCTAATTTTCCTTAGATATTTTTCGTATAATTGTGGTAGTAGCAAACAAGAGTAACTGATTAGTCCTGTATTAAAATATGATTAGAGTGTTTCTTTTACTATGAGTTTGTTTTTGATTATAATCTAAATATGGTTTTATCTGCAGACACATGGTATACGAATTGGACATCAGAGTGCGAAGAAAGCAATAGGATTTATCGAGGTAAGTTTGTGTGTTGATGTTCTTATATACCTTAGTCTTTCATGTTCTAACTGATGTAAGAGTTATTGGAAATGGATTTTGAAGGCAATCACGTTGATAGCTAAAGAAGAAGGAGTGAAAGGTTATTGGAAGGGAAATTTACCGCAGGTTCTCTCTAAATTGTGTGGACTTTGGTTTTTATATCAAGTGTTTGGTTTCTCTTTGACTTATTGGATAATTGTGTTTGAAAATGTGACATCAGGTTATAAGAGTGTTACCTTACAGTGCGGTCCAGCTTTTGGCTTATGAGAGTTACAAGGTGAGTCTGTCTCATCACTAGCTTATTAGCTATTTGGATTATGTCTTAAACAGAAATGAAAATTATGGTTGTACTACACTACAGAGTCACAGAAACTTCTGTAGCTAGTTGTCCTAGAGAACAAGCATTGCCATGGGATGATAAGTTATGTCTGGAATGACTTATTAAACGATGATTCTGGTCTATAGTTAGATAGATTAGCCACAGGGAGCTCGTGTTAAAAGTTAATTTGACTACCTTCAGGAAACTTTGCTTGATTGCATTAGTTTTTTGTTATCTGTATTGAAAATGACAGCATTCATCTTAAAGCAAGATTTCTGTATTGAAATGTGACTGATGCTTCCATATTTTGTATTTAGAACTTGTTCAAAGGTAAAGATGATCATCTCTCAGTAATTGGAAGACTTGCCGCGGGTGCTTGTGCTGGCATGACATCTACTTTGGTAAGGAATTATGGTTTGATGTATTTAATGCTTGCTAAGTTTGTTTATCCGTTTTCGGGTTTATTCACTTGTAGGCGTAAGTTAACTGTCAAGTTTAAGGTTTACAAAGTCTTAAGATTACCTATCTATTTGTAGAATCTACTTCTTTCCTCCAATTGGTTCCATCACAAGTCTGCATCTTTATGATGGCTGTACTGATGTATATCTGTAAAATAGGCATAAGTTCCTCTCTCTCTACTTGAAAACTAAATCGTTATATATACTGAAATGTAGTTGTTTTGTGTTGTTTACCTTCTGTTAAAGCATTAATCAAAGTTACTTCAACCCATTTAATTTCGGGTTTTAAGTAAAACTTGGTGAAAGTATGTACTGCTTCAAGTATATAGATATGTTACTTTATCATTCTGATTCTTGCATTTTGATTCTTTATGCAGTTGACATACCCTCTAGATGTTTTGCGATTGAGGTTGGCTGTCGAACCTGGGTATCGAACAATGTCTCAGGTGAAATGGGTTTTCATTATATCATTCATGTTTATGCATTTATTAAAAGGCATTGTGCAATGTAAACTCTTGCAGGTTGCTTTGAGTATGCTCCGTGATGAAGGAATCGCATCTTTCTATTACGGTCTAGGACCTTCTCTAGTGGGGATAGCTCCATACATTGCTGTAAACTTTTGTATCTTTGATCTGTGAGTCTTCCAAACTTTCTTTCTATCTGTTTTAAGTACCTATAGGGAAAAGGAAATTGAACCGGGATTAATATCCTTTTGGCAACAGGGTGAAGAAGTCTTTACCAGAGGAATATAGACAGAAGGCGCAATCGTCTCTACTCACAGCTGTTCTTTCAGCTGGTATTGCAACACTGACATGTTACCCTCTAGACACTGTGAGACGACAAATGCAAATGAGAGGAACACCATACAAATCAATTCCGGAGGCATTTGCTGGTAAGTTAATATATATCATCATGCAACTCATTAGAGCAAAATCTTCATCCAAATCATTTCGGGTCTATTTACTTACAATTCATGTTGTGTATTGAGCAAAATACTTGGAATTTGAACTGAGTCATCTTGACATTCTGGTTATGCAGGAATTATAGACCGTGATGGGCTTATAGGCTTGTACCGCGGCTTTTTACCCAATGCATTGAAAACTCTACCAAACAGCAGGTTAGACTCTTCTTAAACATAGGAATATCATTCTCCATGCATTATATATGCTACTTAAGGTGTAGATGTATCTGGTACAAAACGAAGCTCAAACTATTGTTATAAGAATTGGGGATCGTATACTTTTTTATGATTTTGGTAATATCAGTTTGATGTTTTGATAATATCTCAAGAATTCTCTTTATATAGGACTAGTATATGCAAAACACAATTATGAACATGTCTTATCGTTAAAGTTGAGGTCTTAGGGAATCTCATTCTCACATTGCCGTTTATGTTTTGTTTTGCAGTATTAGGCTTACAGCTTTCGACATGGTAAAACGCCTTATCGCCACAAGTGAGAAGCAGCTTCAAAAGATCAACGATGATAATCGGAATCGAGACCAAGCTCAATAGCCTCATTTTTTAAATATAATTGTTTCACATGAAAATTTTGGAGCCGCTAGAATATTTATACTCGAGTGCTAGTTTTACATTTGAGAAGTTTATTTTATTAGAGCGAAACATAGTTTGGTTTTTCATAGCTAGTTCATGTTTGAGAAACTATAGTATATTCGGCAAAATTCCGGCTGAAATTCTTTACTATTCAACAAGTTTGAAGGAGTTTAAAAGAACCTTAAAGAGTCAAGAGACCGGAGATAAATTGGTGAGAGTTTAACATGTACATAGTTTGTGTTTTGGTTTGGGTGATCACTAAAGCAAACATTGGTACATTGTTTGTTGTGGAAAAAAGCTGAAACCAAACATCCTGATAGATGCTAACAACTGTTTCGCTTTCTTAGGAAAAGAAAAACAAAAAACACACGATTTTAGATCTATAGTTCTCGACACACAAATTACAGAATACTTACTTCTGCTTAAGGATCCGCAGTTAAGCTTGAGATACAAAATCTGATTTCTATCCCCGGTTTAGTCTTCTTCCTCGTCATCATCATCGTCATCATCCTCTTCTTCTTCTTCATCATCACCTGCCGCTTCCTTCTCTAGTAGTTCTTCCTGCAGAGAAACATTAAGCCAAACATACATCTTCAGAATGCAAACACCAAGTACAAAAGAAAATGGGTCATGTATAAAATACACTATATAGAGATACTCTTATCTTGTTTAGTGGAATTGTTACCTCCCCACTGGCTTCATCTTCATCATTCACCTCAGATCTAGACTTTTCAGATTCATCACTCCCTTCCTCCTGTCCCCATTGCAAGGAAATCAGAGTTAGCCATGTACGAGTTTGTATATGTGAGGTAAGGCTTAGGGGATACCATGTTTTTGTTGTATGCATCCATTTGTTTCTCATATTCAGCTTTCCTCTTTGCAGCTTTCTCTTCATATGGAGCTTTTTCCTTTACAAAGGAAGAAGTGAAACTCATGTCAATCTCACACTATTTTCCTCTCAGTATCGGACAGGGAAGTTTCAAAGATACTTACAGCTTGAGACATTGACTTCCATTTCTGCCCTCCAGCTTTCCCAACCTTCACAAGGAAAAAAGAAGGTAAGACCATGAGGACTTCATCTAGTAAAGACTAAGTACATGTAAAATATCAAGGAATCTGCCAAATGCTTACAGCAGAGACGGCCTTCACATTTGGATTTTCTTTCTTGAACGTGACCCTAAAATCTTCTCTAAAACAAAGAAACAAAAAAACCAGTGAGGTTTTATAGGAAGTTCAACAATACGAGTGGGAATCTCCTTGAGGGAAATCATACACAATACTTACAGAAAGACAAAGAAGGCACTAGGAGCTCTTTTCGGTTTGTTTGGGTCCTTTTTAGCCTTCTTCTCTTTACGAGTCTCTCGTTTAGTAGCCTTCTCAGCAGGTGCCTTCCTCTTTCCCACCTTTCTGAAAATTAAACAGAAACAAAAGCTTTTGTCAAGTATCTGAGACCAAATCACAAGCAACAATGTTAAAACTAGTCTGTCCAACCTAGGCTACCAAGTCAACAACGCCTCCAAGTATGATGATCACTAACTGTTTCAATTACAGCTGAAGCTAAGCCAGATTTGCAAAGAGACTAAAAATCTGATTCAGCAAGAAGCTATACCTTTCTCAATGGCCATAATTTCTCATTATTACTGTACAAGTAGCAGAGAGATAAAGGATTAACCTGTCATCAACTGGCTTCAAGGCTTCCTTTGTGGTCTTAACTTTATCTTTCCCCTTTGCTGTCTTCATCGTAGCAACTATAGAATCAACCAACAGAATCAATTTCTTAGTATAATAATCAATTTCACAGATTTTAGAGAATATGTCATAGCATTCAACATAGAACAGAATCACTAGATGAGAGGAAAACAACAGATTCGAAGCTCAAAAAGTACTAAAACCTTAGCTTAAACAACTATTTTCGATTGAAATCGAGAGAAACAAAAAAAAAACTCAAATCAATCAAGCTAAGCTCCAGATTCTCCCAAAAAGAGAAAAACGCAGAAACCAATTCGGAACAACAACAAAAAATTCCGAAGAGATTCGGAAACAAAATCCAATACCTTAAGAGAATTCGAGACGAATGGAAGATCTCAGAAACCTAGCGGAAAAAGACGATCAGAGAGAGAGTAAGAGATGAGGAGGCCTCAAGGAGAAAAAAGAAAGAGATGCTTATTACCGGTTACCTGTTAAACCTAGGATTGGCGATCGCCGGTTAAGAAATTGGAAGAATCAAGTAAATCCCAGGTGCTTTTACCTGCTATAGCCGGTCAAATGATAATAGTGAAGGAAGGTCGTTGATTTGAACGGTTGCGATCAAACGGTTGCCGCCAAACGTTACAGATACGATAAGGATGCGACTAAAAGTCACGTGCTGTGTGGGTCTAATATGGGCCTGACTTTATAAAGATATTGTTGGGCATATTATGGGCTAGACTTTAATCATGAGAGAAATAATGAAGGATTTTATTTTCTCCCCTTTAACAAATCATTTACATCGACAAGGCCTGATCCGACCAAGTCATTAGTAACCTTACACGAGTATATACCATCCACATGTCTGAAAATTGAAAAATAATTGAGGAAGACATTTCTACTGGTTATTTTCCTCAAAAATGGTTACCAATCGGAGCTATGGAGAAAGACGTATATGGACATTTAACCACTTAATTGGATGCACTTAACCAATGATTTTGTTGCTGAAAACTAAATGATACTATATCACAAGAATCATGTTTCTATCTAATGAAACTTATACGGAAGCAAACCAAATCGATACAGCTGAAAAATCTGTTGTGAATCTAGGAACTTTTGCTTGCTTTATATTATTTGGTCTACGTACGGGAACTGATAGTTCTTCTAGCAAGTTTTATTGAATATATACATCAAAGTTGAAAACTGTGTGGGAAACCAACAATGGTAATTGGTAAGACCAAAGATGAAACCAAAACAAACAAAATTCGAGACTGAACATGAGGGAAGCTAACAAAGTAAAGACGGTTTTCAACAAATAAAGAAGTTAAATTGTCACAAACACAAACTACAACTTCTCTGTACCTGTGGCCTGTTCACTCACATTCGGGTCAGCTCCAGATGGTGAGGGCAATTTTGGCTTCATATGAGTTGGCGGATTGTGTTTGAGTTTCGTGAGAACTTGACGCATACGAGACAGATCAGTAGGCTTCCCTGGCTTTGGTCCCTGGATCACAGTTATGGTTGCTGTTTTCTTCTTATTCCCTCTATTCTCTATAACCGGTACTTCACGAGGAATGAGTTCCGCAATCGCCTTCCAATTGTTTTTGTCAGCTTCAGCGTAAAACTTTTCTTGGTTCTCCAAAAGCAACTGGTAATAAAAAAAATAGGCACCACAAATCTTGAATGATAAGCCTAAGAATTCAATGTTTTGTTGCACCTACAACAATCTTGAATGATAAAAACAAGTTTACTAAGACAAATTACCTTCTCTTTCTCGCGGTTCAATTTCTTGTTGTTTTCAATAGTAACGTTACGCTTGCTATAGAACTCAGCCTTGTATTGCTCTGCTGCTTCTATAATTTGTTGAACCATTTCTTTCTCTTCCTTTTCTTTCTCTTCCAATCTCAGAGCATTTAGCCTTTAAACACACACAACAAAACTTTCAATAGACATAAATCAAATCAACCAACGTACTATCTTGAACAAACAAAGATTCCTTAGACCAATATTTGGTCAACGTTTTGGAGTTAAGACTTAGTCAATGGATAATTAGCTAGGGTTGCTAAATTAAGGTTTTAAGCAATACGAAGATTCGTGAAAATCTCTAAAATAATCGAATCGACAACTCAAAGATTATAAAATCTATTAACGAAAACAGAGTGAAGAGTCAAGTAAAGGATCAAAAAGCTGCATGCACAAAGAAAGCTTTTACCTTCGCCACTCCCTAAGAGCAAAACCTTCCTCTTTCTCCATGGCCGATGAAGGCGGCAAGATCGAACCGTTCGTAGCATCGGAAGTGTTTATCAACGGCGGAGATTGAGTTTCCGGTAATTCCTTCTGGTTTGATTGAGGAGACGAATCGTCGCCGGGTAAGTCTGACTCTTTCTCTGGTTGGGAGTCAAAATTAGAGAAGGACGAGTCAAACCTCTGCGACTGGAATCGAGACTCGTAACCCGTGAAGTTTCCTCCGTCGCCACCATCTACTTCCGTCGAACGATTTAAATCACCGTGTCCTGACTCTTCGTTGCTCAAGGTTGACGACATCTCTTTAGTTCTGTTTTTTTTCTCACAAAAGTCTTCTTTGCTCTGCTTTGTGTCCACACTGGTTTTCCTAAGGACGAATTCTTCTCTAAAGAACAACGTGGCGTTTTATGATTGGTTGGAGAGTAAAGACACGAAAGCAATGAGAAAGATACATCGTGTGTATCGTGAATCTGCCGCTAATCTGATTGTACGCTTACGTGTCATGTTTTAGATGGAGCAAAGAAGCATCCCTATGGTGGACCTTGACGTACACGATTATTATCGTCAGATTCCATGCTTGAATGTTCTAGCCTGATGGGCTTTTCTCCACACGGTTAAGGATTATAAGTTTTGTGGCCTTTTAACATACATCAAGAATGCTTACTCCAAAATTTAAAATGCAACTTTAAAACCGAAGTAAACCAAATTTGGTTCATTGTTAAATAACCGATATTTGCATCAATGAACTAATTCAGAATCCATAACACTAAAATAAGAGTACATATATATCGCATGTGACTCATCATCAATATTACAAAATGAGTTTCGTTTTTTTTACTTTAGTTCAGATCGAACTAGTTAATAACGAACTATACGTTGTTCCAAGGCTCGTTTTTGGAGGCCGGTTCGGTTTTAAACGTGTGAAGCACGTAGCTACAAGCCTCCACAGCTTCTCCTACTGTTAAGAACATCCACTCTTTGCCCAAATGATCACCGATGAATTTGGATCTGGTTAATTTCTTCACCACCTCTCCTTTTGGATTTGCCAATACCAACTGAAGATTAAAAAAGAACAAAAGAATATTAATATGAAGAAACGCTAACATATCCTAAAATGTATTATATATATATACGTACTGCATTACCTTTAACGCTCTTCGGTCGATGACTTTCTTGATTTCCTCCATCATGCTTATACCGCTTGTGTCAATATTACCAACAGCTGATTTGTTCAACAAACACACACAAAGTAAGCTTCCAACGAAAACAGCATTAGCTAATTGCTAGTGTCAGAGAAAATGAAGATCATATGATTACCTGACATATCGAGTATAATATATTGTAAACTGCTTTCTCCTGATTGTTTGACTCTCTCCTCCTCTTCATCAATCCACCTTATGATTCTGTAAGTATATAGAAAACATAATTCAAAACCAACCCTCGATCTTTGGCATTTATATAATATACGAATGAGGGTTAAGTTACCTTTCACGCAAGTAACTGGCGTTGGCAAAATAGATGGGAGCATCAATCTCCAAGATAAGAATACCAGGGACAGTTCTTGAGGAAGGGTACTGCTCAGTGTTCCTATAGATCATGCTGTTTGGTATGTTTCCCTTCACTGCGGTTCTTGGCCTCGACACAAACAGCAACAACCTCGCTATCGATATCGCCACCTTCATCACCACGAAAAATAAATCACATTATAAAATGTAGAAAAAATCACTTTTATAAATTGTAAGTGTAATTGTGTAAATGCCAAACGCAAATAGAAAAAAAAAATCTAGGTGATTTCTGCGCTAAAGTATATACTTACTGCGACTATGAGTCCAATCTCTACACTGCCGAATACGACCCCAACGTAGGCGCTCATGCAGACGAGGAAGTCGAACTTGTCGACTTTCCAGAGATGGATGGCAGCTTGATAGTCAATGAGGCCGAGCATTGCGGATATGATGATGGCGGAGAGGACGACAAGTGGTGTGTAGTGAAAAAGCGGCGTGAGGAAGAGGAGTGTGAACATAACCGCAATCGCCATCACTATGTTGGACATTGCAGTCTTGCAACCCGCGTTGTAGTTCACGGCCGACCTTGAAAATGGCCCTGATAGTATATCGTACGTCATAATTAATATTATAAGTTTTTTCATTTATAGTTAATGTAACTAATGTGATAATTATAGAACTACCATATGTGATTATGTGTGTGTGAGAACTTACCCGTTGTGAGGTAACAAGATGTGAAGGAACCAACGATGTTCATCATTCCAAACGCTATCATCTCTTTGTTCCCGTCTATGTTGTAGTTCTTGAACATCGCAAAACTCCTCCCTACAGCTATTCCTTCCTACATTTTATAGGATTTTTTTTTTTGGTTTTGGTGAGTTTTTATTTGTATCTCTTGGCTACTACTCTCAATCTTCAAATTTCTCACGTTACGTTCAATACTTGCAACTAATTATCTCTAGTTGCATACCATAATAACTAACATATCTAACTTAATTTGTATAAAAGTTAGGATAAAGAGAAAAGTGACTTACAGCGAGAGCTATGATGCCAGTGATGAGACCAGTCTTGACAGCTGTCGACATATAAGGCGAAGTAAAGATGAGATCAGAACCGGAGAGTGGATTCAATCCTTTCTTCAAGTTCCCTATCTGCACAATTGGTACACCTTTCTTTTATTCGATAATTCCTCTCCCTTTCGGACAAAACTACAAAAAGCCCATGAGCCCACTTCTTTTTTCATACAATTCCTTATCACTTCAACTTCATGCTTCTTGTTCTTTTCTAACCATAATATTCTACCTAACTTTTTTTTCCCTTTTCTTAAAAATAAATAATGTCCTTAAGATTTGGTGGAATTCATAAAGGTCTTGATTGAAAATAACTAATTTATTTCATTATCTATTATAAGATAAGGAGATCCGATTGAGAGATCGAAAAATACCACTTGAACACCATGTCTCTCAGCGTGAGTGAAGTAAACCAAGAGACTTCCAAGAATCACTGAGGTCAAAGGAGCCATCGCCGCCACCCAAAAGAATTTTGGTTTCTTCGTGCTCTGCATCATCAATTCGTAATTAAACACAATTTATAACTTTTTGATTTTGTAGTTATTTACATTTTCACTCCATCGTATACTTCTAATTATTCTTTCAAGGAAAAGATTGATAAAGACGAAGAGTATATAAAGTAATGGAATTATATGAAAGATCATTGTAGCGTGTGCTAGTGGAAAGAAATGATATTAATTTGTCCCTTATTTAGATGATAGTACTATATAAAGATAGAGAATTATAATCTTACGAAATA